CATTTGTCTGTACTTTTTGATGGAAAGCTATCAGACTCTTTGTCAGTAAGTACCTTTGCATGTTTTCATAGGCACTGGGGGAAAGGCAAGAGCCATGTTCAAAGCGAGGGCTCTTTGTGTAGGGCTGAAAGCTCAAGATTCTGCCAAGAAGTTCTTTTTTTTTTTTTTTTTTTTTTTTTGGTTTTTCGAGACGGGGTTTTTTTTTTTTGTTTTTTGAGAGAGGGTTTTTCTGGGTAGTTTTGGGGCCTTTCCTGGCCCTTGCTCTGGAGCCCGGGCTGGCCTCGACCTCACAGCGATCCGCCTGCCTCTGCCTCCTGAGTGCTGGGATTAAAGGTGTGTGCCACCAACGCCGGGCCCAAGAAGTTTGGTTTGGTTTGGTGAATGGATAGGCAGGAAAGTGGCTGCTCTAATTTCAGTTGTCAGAGCAGATGATAAGGCCACAGGACAAGGAGCTGTCCACCTGTAGTCTCCAGTTAATGCCCCTGGGAATGAAACAAGCAAATGGAGACTTTCATAGGTAGCAAAAGTGGGTAGGGTGCCAGGTTTGCAAGGCCACAAGATTTTGCTGGACTTAGTTATTTTTCCTGCTGGGAACCAAATGATATGGGAGAATGGTAGATGACACAACAGACCGTGAGACAACTGTACTGCATACTGTAGGTCAAAGTTATAGCTCACACTATCCTACACTGTAAAAAATGATGATGACGATGATAACAGTAGAATAATAGTAGTGCTGAGTGTATACGGAGAATTTGCTAGATCCATTCTGAAGGATGTTAGAAGATACTCATCAGCCGGGCATGTAACCACAGCCTGTAATCCCAGCACTCAGTGGATAAGAAGCAAAAGGACCAGGAGATCAAAGTCAGCTTCAGCTACACAGTGAGTTTGAGGTCAATATGGGCACAAAGGTACTCCTAAAGTCAGCCATTAGCCAGGGTATTATGTATTGGTTTGTCTCTGCTGAGGGAGAGGGGCTAAAGAGGAGAGAGGGTGTGAGGAGAATGGGGCTATTGGTTGTGTAGAACATGAATTCGGGAGATCTAGCTCTTGACTCGATGTTTATACTGCAAGGCAGCGAAGAGCCAAGATGTGGCCCATCGACAGCAAAGCTGAGCTACCTACTTCCCAGGTAGGCAATGCTGTCCTTGCCTCCTAGGCACTGCTACCCTAGAAATAAAAGATCTGGGATCACTTAGCTCAACTGTCTTAGTTAACATTTCTATTACTGTGGAGAGACACCACAACCACAGCAAGTCTTAGGAAACATTTAATTGGATCTGGCTTACAGTTTCAAGGGTTAGTCCATTATCATCATGATGGGAAGCACGGTTGTGTGCAGGGAGACATGGCCGGTGCTGGAGAAGGAGCTAAAAGTTCTACATCTTGATCCACAGGCAGCAGAAGGAGTCTGAGTCTCTGGGTGTGGCTTGAGCACATATGGGACCCAAAAACCTGCCTCCACCGTGACACACTTCCTCAAAAAAGATCACACCTACTCCAACAAGACCACACCTCCTAATAGTGCCACTCCCTAAGGGCCAAGCATTCAAACACATGAGTCTATGGGGGCCACACCACAACTCCCTTATTTTACAAGTAAGGAAACTGAAGCACAGACGTGTCGTGACATCTTAAGTCAGTGTCATTGCTGGGAGCAGAACCCATTTATATTTCCTTCTGGTCCAGTGACAGTGATGCCTTGATTGATAGGCAGCTGTACAGTTACATTTGAGGATGTCAAGGAAAAAACTATGGGAGAGCCAGGTAGAGGGGAAAGAGTGGAGGGAACAGCTATAGCAGATGAAAAGGTCAAAAGAGCCATGATCTCCTTTCTTGCTGGCTGTGTCTCAAAGACAAGCTTGACTTGATGCTCTCTAAAAGAGATAGAACCGTCACACAACAGAACCACACTACAGACTGGCCACAGCCCAGCAATGCCGTTTGCCTCTACTGACCAAGCACCCTATTTGTTCACTCACTTAGGCTTAGCGTACCCCTTTCTTTTTTAAGTTGGTGGACTGTCACTGTCACTCCTTCTTTCACATTTGGTTTGTGGCTGTCTTTGTTCTCGGGATCGTTTTAGAACCTGACTGCTCATTCCCCTCAGGTTCTAGGTTAACAACATGAATGACATGATGACCTTGGTGGTATAATTTGCCTGGCTGCCCTGGCGTTCTGCACAGGAGCTGGAGAGAAGAGCTTGAGCAAACGAATGAGTCAAGTTCCTGTTATCTCTATTGTGTAGGGTATCACCTTGGCATTTTCTGTGACTTGTAACTACTTGTTAGTTTCAGCACGACAAACCCTGCCCACTGCTGAGGAGACATGAGAGCATTTTCTGTGGTTGTCTCCAGAATATGACACTAAGCTCTGGTCTTTTTTGTTTGATTTTAGTGTTCCTTGTCATTTCAGGCTTAGAGTAGAGGGGATCTTTGAGAAATGCCAGCATCCCCATTCCCTAAGACATGGGGAGCCCCTCCCCACCACCTCTGTTGGTGGCTCAAACCCTTCTCTTTCTGTATCCTCAATGACTTGCTTCTGTGTCTGTGGAAGAACATGTTTAATTTTGTTTGCTTTAAACAACATTATTTGAGGATTTGTCTTACATGGTGAACCCTGAGGTGGGCAGGAATTCTGTCCCACTCTTTGATCACTCACGACCCCTAACACAGAACCTGCCCCACTCTCTATAAATATTTGAACGAGTGGCAAGCTGTTAACAGTCTCCTGAGGTGGCCACAGTAGGACATCTGTTACAGCTAGAGAGTTCTGTGTTCCCTGGGTAGGAGGAGAGTGGAAACAGGCACAGTTACAAAGATAATGAATGTCTTACTCTTCCTTGTACCCTATGTGACCAAAGCTGAACACATGGCTCCCCTCCAGGACAGGAAAACTGAATACTGTAGAGAGATCCATATAAATGGGAGGAGAGGAACCTTCCAGGGTTTGAACCCAGTTGGGAGAACAGCTTTTTGAGGCATTATCAGTGCTCCATCCACTTTCCCATAGGCACCCTGGGTGTCATCTGCTAATGATTGCCCATATCTTCCTGTGTTTCTCTGTGATGCTGGCTCTCTGGCTCTAGGTGTGGTTGGCCTGTGGAAGGTCAGGCTGTAAATGCCAGAGTTACCCTAGAAGGGGGCTTAACCACTGAGCAGTGGGGTTTAATGTGCCAATAGATCAGCTTCTGGACCTGTCAGCCAGGTCACTAGGAGGCGAATTTCCCAGTTTCTTCAAAGGCCTCCAGAGAGAGCTGCTCACGGCTCTAACCCACTATACATGCACCTCTATCCATCCCAGCCATGACTCCCTTTCCCTAGCCATGCTTCCTGGGAGAGTGTCCAAGGCCAGGGTCTTCCTCATGTCTCTATGCCAAGGTCATTTCATAATAAACCCAGATGAAAACAATGACAGAAGCAGGAAATTTGGGAGGACTTCAGTGTTATCCCCTAGAAGACAAAACTATCAAAAACCAGCACTTCCATTCTCCCCGTCTTTCCTTCTTCTGTTTCAAAGTGTAAGGTTGCTTTTTTTTTTTCTGACAGTTCTATAAATAGTCTAATTTTCCAGTGTTCTAACTCAGCCAACGGTGCTGATAATGATCCGTAATTCCATAAAGGATAGTTGTTTCAAGTGACAACAGCCAAAGATATTGTAGCTCTCTTAAGTGAGTGTGCAGAAGAGCTCAGGCCTCACTAAAAACAGAGATGGAGCTCAGAGGCCATTAGATATCAGAATGGATTTGTGCTTGCTTGCCTCACTTAACCTGTAAACTTCCACAGAGACCTTTTAAATTAAGAGAGACCTTATCAGCCTGGGCCAGCTCTGGGATGGAGCATGTGGAGGTTGGGGACAGCTGAGATGAATGGGGACTGTGGGAAAGGAAAATAAAGGAACCTTCATTAAGCCTGCCCCAGTGTTAATGAACTACAGTGCAGCTCACAGAGCCCAGAGAAAATGCTGCCACTGAGGAATATTTATCATCATCTGAGAAGATTTGTAACAAAGAGCGAGAGTGTGAATAACCTGGCTTCTGGTCCTCCAGGCATCATGTGTGCAGAAGAGTTCCCCAAGGAAACCACATTACATGGCTGCTTTGATAGACAATTAATAGGAGGGAGCTGTTAAAAATAACCAGGATCACCGTGGCACTGTGTTGGTGGGTTTTTTCTTTTGTCTTGTTCCTTCCTGGAGAGCTCTTTGCTGGCCTGGTAGGAAACAGCATACATGCTCATGAGTTTTTAATAAGCAAGCAGAGATGGGAATGGATGTAAACAAAACACAATGTAAAAGGAGACAGCAGGTCAAGGAAGTTCCTGCAGATGCATTTAGGTACACCCTCTGGTGCTGTTCGGAATCAAGTAGGGAAATGTCCTCAAGTCACACAGGGAGAAGAAGGGACCCACAGATCTTATTTTTCAGAGTGGAAAAAATCTTGTGGCCTCTAAGCTCTGTCTTCCAGAACACCCTGGCTAGTGGCTCATACCTCAGGTCTTGTGGCAGGGAATGAGAAGATGGGGAAATGGGAAGGACACTGTTAGCTGGTGATGGGAAGCTATTTAATTACCATGTCTTTACCCTATCTGCCATATTACTGGGGACAGTTATGCCTTGAGTACAGCTCTCTCCAGAGTAAGAGAGACATCTTTGCTCCCTTCAGTTCATCCCATGTCCCACTGCTTCCAAAGAGTACTCCGTAGAGAGTAACTTCATTGGCTGTGAGGATTCAATAAGAGTTAGAGTAAAGTGATTGCATTGATGTGTGTTAGTCTTTGGTATACAGTCTGTATTGGTTGTCAGGATGAAATATCTCAGCACTACAGATGGACTTCCCTGGGGCCTATTATAGAAACAGATACCAAGCCGATCCCAGTCTCTCGGGCTTTTAGGGTTGGGTGGTCCACGTCTCCAGATACCTATCTCGCAGCAATGCCCGATGATGGCTACCTTCTCAGCCTTCCCCCACTAAGTGTTTGCTCTTCCTTGCCTCCTAGAACGCCTATGTCAACATCAACCGCATCATGTCTGTCGCCTCCCGCCTCTCAGAGGCCGGCCATTACGCCTCCCAGCAAATCAAGCAGATCTCCACGCAGCTAGACCAGGAGTGGAAGAGCTTTGCTGCTGCCCTAGATGAACGAAGCACCATCCTGGCCATGTCTGCTGTGTTCCACCAGAAGGCAGAGCAGGTAAGACCCAGAGATCTGGGATGATGATCATAGGAGGAGGCATGTAAGAGCAGACCACTTCAGGGTAGGAACACACACGCACACTCTCCACAGACGACCCCAAGATCCTGCTCCATAGCTTAAATAATAGACCTTGTTTTCCATAAACACACACACACACACACACACACACACACGTCTCTGAGTTCTCTCCAGTTAGCATAAAAACTAAAGGCATAAGTTACCAATGCTTAGTGTGTGTGTGTGTGTGTGTGCGTTGACTATCTGATTAATGTATTCCGAACAGAAACAAAAGTAATGAAAGAAGAGTGATGACTTGAGTGTTGAGTGAATGGAAACTAATTTTACATAAATCATTTGTTAGGTATTTGCTGTGGATAATAACAAGTCAGTAATGATGCAATAAGTAGAAATAACAGGTGCATGCAGCTATATGAGCCCATTTTACAAAGAGGAACTCTGAAACTCATAGCACATGACCTGCCTAAGAGCCTATGGCAGGTCACATCGTGGCTCAAACAAGCTCTTGGAGAACCAGTTGTCAATTTTTCCAGATATTTTGTGAATTAATTGTTCAATATTGCCATATGTTAAAAGCATACTTAAAACACATCACTTCCTGGTTACTATGTCTTACTATAATCTATGATCTTGGGGTTATTTTTATGTTTTCTATGATGGAAATACTATAGAGTTGTATACTATTAGTCATCCCTTCCCATTTCACATTCAGCAATGTCGCATTGGTAGGCTAAAGTGTTAAAATCGTAAGAGTTTTACTTCATGGAAGTTATCAAATGCTGCAGGTCGGGGCTAGATGATCTACTGTAGAGTCTTGAGGAAATGGGAGAGTATAATTTTACAGTTACAATGTGAGTAGCACATAAGATTCAGGAATACCCTTTCAGTATTCACACTCCCATCACTGAGGGGCAAGCTTTGGTCTTACTCCTTAATGTAAGCAAAAATATCACAGTGTTGTGTTGTAATGATTTAAGCTTGCCACTTACTACTACCAACCATAGGTTGACTGTGTACTCAAGAGTTTATCAAAAGTACCTATAAGAGTGGATTGGCTGCAGGAAACTACAGTGCAGAGTATTGTATATGTCATTCTCTGTAAACTGTCAGTTATATATCATTTATATTTATAAAATTTGTAATGTACTCATGTGTATGAATACACACACACACACACACACACACACACACACACACACACACACACATCTGTAATGTGAGCTTTCTTGGCCCGGCTAGATCCCGTTGCCTTTCTCTGCCCCAAAGAAGTACACGGACACTGTATTAATTATGAAACTGTTGGCCAGTGACTATGGCTTCTTATTGGTTAGCATTGTCTAAATTAACCAATTTCTAATAATCTAAGTATTTCCACGTGGTCTTCTCTTACTGGAGAAAGGGTCCAGACCTGTTATTCCTCTCGCGTCCTACATGGTGACTGACTCAGCGTGTCTGCATAGACGAGAAGAGAGCGATTTCCTGTTTGTCCCTGCTTATATACTGATTCGGCCCAGCTCTATCACTTCCTGCCTGTATATACAGACCTCTAGACCTCTATGGTTAGCTAGTGGCAGTTTCTGCCCAGCTATATCACTTCCTGGGCTCTCATGGCAACTCCTTTCTGCCTACACTTCCCAGAATCCTCCTTGTCTCCTAGTCCTACCTATTGCCCTACCTGGCCAAACAGTGTTTTATT